CATTGAAAACAAGCATTGAACCACGGTCAAGTTGCAATAAACAGGAACTTGAAAGAGGCTCTTGATCAAGAATGTTTTCCAGTTCTCCCCAGTCCAGGAGAAACTGGACAAGATGCAGAAAAGAGGATCATTGAAGTTACGTGGAAAAAGACTTACGTTTTCTTCCAGCACTTCTTATAGCACTTGATAAAGATCTGTGTCACGCTTGGGGACATCCCAAATTTTTGGAAAACAATAAGGGTAGGACAGGGAGTTTGCATGAGTAAGTCCTTTTCTAATGTATCAGGGCTGTCTTCCAGCCAGGATTCAACTTTTTTCACGGTCTGCCAAATCTTTGCAAATGATCTCATGGACATGACCTCCCCTTCTTTCTTGGAGTCCTGCAGCTTCCCTCCAGCAAGCGCAGCGGGGACGGTATTGGGAAAGTGGTGATAGCTCTCCAGCTGCTCTGCCGTGACTTTGGAAACTCGATGTGTAAATTTGTGCTTCATGCACAGTTGTCACCTCTGAAAATCAAACAAAGGCAAACACAGGTACTAATTTTAGGCAGCCAGGCAACACAGTAGACAGTTGCCTAGGGCAGCAGACTGTTGAACACAGCAGAATGCCAAGGCTTTATGAAGACGCAGGCTTGCTGCTGCTGCTTTTCCCTCTAAGAAGGGACCAGCTAGACCTAAGAAGGGAGCATTAGACCTTTAATCTGAAGGTTGAGATTCATGTCCTGTTTTCAGGTGACAGCTCCCTGTTTGGCCCAGGTGACCCTCAGCAGTCTGGGTGAAAGCATCAGCACTCGGGGCGCAGTATGGGTTCACTACTGCCGTCTGAGTGAGCCAGGCCCACTCGAAGGGGTGGGATGGGGCCTTTTACAGCAGAAGCAAGAGCAACCCTCAGTTTTGGAGTTCTTTCTACTGCCCCTTCCTGTAGCAGGAGTGATGTGAGTTGGTGTGAGTGGGCTGCTGCAGGGGAGCGATGGTTTGGGATGAAAGTGGGAGTCACTTGGCTGGTGGAGAGTGGACAGGGGTGATGGCCAGGAGGGGCAGTCTGCCTGGGGTCAGGTTGGGCTCTCCTGGATTTGAGACAGGGGTTAGCCAGGGAACAGAAGAGTGGGTGAGACCAGCTTTCTTCAGGGCCTCCCTTATACCTGTTAGTGTAGTGACCCCTTCATGTCACTCGTATGGAACCATCCCAAAGCTCTGCTCATTCCCAGCCTCCTTCCCCTGAGCCACCCAAATCCAGATGACTCTCCCAGCATCCCAGTTGGTCATTCGGGATTACCTGCTGGCAGCTCCTTACCCACCTCTCTTACCTGACACCTTGCTGGCTCCATTCATCCCAGCCCTCCAGCAGCCCCGCTTCACCCCACCTCTCATCCTCACAAAATTTCACTGACTTCTCCCCCCCCAGCCCTGCTTTGGCAAACCACCTCGCCAAAGCTGTTTGGGCTTAAAAAAATAACCCAAGCTTTTTATTTACAAAATTGAAAGCTGGCTGTCAAGATTTTGGTAACAAGTAGAAGCAGGCGTAAGGAAGAGGGATAGACAGTATTCTTTGGACCACTGGCCAAGCGCTTTGCAGCTTTCGGTCTGGAAGTTGTTGGCTGAAGCTAAATCCCTCCAACAGTGCCTCACCTGCTATTACCACTTTATCTAAAGTCATAAACACAGCCAGTGGAGAAATTACTTCCAGCACCTTAAAAAGGACTCACTTTCATAATTCACATCTTAACTCAATGGCAGTCGCTCTTGCCAGCAGCAGAATTTAGGTAGAATTTGGAGTTTCAGACCTTTCCCGCTGAAGCATCTCCTTTAGTTGCTGCCTTTGACGGGATATTAGGTTGGATGGATAAGATCTTATCCCGTATGAGCCATTTTTGTGTCTTGTGTTTCAAAATAAGATCATTGCCTTGCTGGTGCTTTTTGGAGGTTGAGCTGCTACTAGCAGCATTCACAACACTTTGCTTTTGTTAATCATCAGCTGCCTTCGAATATTAGGACTTAAAATGAGACATTTAATTAATGCCGTGTGTTTCTGGACCAAGTTTCGCATGAGCATCTCCCAGACTTTACCAGCTGGAAAGGTTTTCGTTTTCAGCATGCCACAGTGCCGGAGGTGGACCACCGGTCCAGCGCCGCATGGTGGGACATCCTCGTTGCCCCATGGAGTGCTGCGGCTGCGCACATGCGCTCGGAGCAGCTCGCACGAACGCGGACATCGACATCACCTGTATTTGTGGAAGTGCCTCATCAGCTGGTGCCGTCTCACATTCCTGGCTGGGAGAGGCCCCGGGGTGGCTCGCCACGGTTTGCTCCTTTCTCAGAATCCGTGAGGAGACTTGGTGAGGGCGAAGGTTGGAGATACACCTCTCCCATCGTGTCATCTATTTACACGGCGCATGCCTTGTGTGCGTGTGTGAGACAGCGAGGGATTTTTTTTTTTTCCCCTTGTCCTAGTTCTTCTTTCTGGCTGTGGTGAGATGGAAAGGTGGGAAGCTCTCATCTCTGCCAGTGAGAAGGTTTACTGTATCTGAGGCTGGCTTGGAAATTCTTTAGGTGACATCACACCGTGTCTGTGCAGACTCATTGTTTGTCATGGAAAAGCCATTCATCCATACACAACTTCCTTCCTCCCCAGACTCCCGGAGATAAACTTTCCATTCTGTCTATTCCCTATAGAAACAGACCCAAAACATGTATGCGTGGCTACGCACACATACACCTCGCCGTCCTTCCGTCACGCTCGGGGCTGTGGGAGGAGGAAAAGGGAGGATATAGAAGATGTGAATAAAGTCACCCTGTTTTCTTCAGACGTGGATCCTGCTGTGCCCGAGCAGTAAAACTCCCCTCCCGCCGAGGTTCTGGGTCACACAAGGCTTTTTTGTCCTGAGGCTAATTCTGGCACTCGCAGCCCCACATCTGCCTGCCAGGTGAGATGGGCCACCAGCTGCAGGTACAGCACATCTGGATGGGGGAGGCAGCGAAGCGTGCTGCAAACAAACACAGCAAGTCCACCGTGGCGGGCGCGAGGAATTCGATAAAAAATATACTTCAGCGGTCTGAGCTGCTGAGTCTGGTGATTCATGTCTCGGGCGCAGCTCGTGAGGCAAAGCGAAAGGCTGGGTACTCGCGGGTCTTCGACCACGTACGCCGCGGCCGCAACCTGGGAGTTGCTGGAGGGGACCTGCACGTTCGGCCCACGTTGAGCCCGGGAGCCGCCGCCGCAGGGGCAGGGTCAGGGGGACGCCAGGCCCGGCGAGGAGGCTGCGTGGGAGAGGAGGGGGCAATTGTCCGTGGCGGAGAGGTGGGGACCGTGCGGCGCAGGGTAGGACAGCAGGGTGGGAGGCCGTGCAGAGATGGAGGCAGCAGCGTCGTCGTCGACGGTGCGATAAGGTGGCCGTTTCCCTGCGGCTTGAGGGAGGCAGGGTGCGAGGAGCGTTTGTTGCGAGCACCCGCAGGGGTCTGGGGTGCTTGCGTTTGCTTTCTGCCGGTGTCTGGGGGGGGAAAGGGCTGAGAAGTTGACAGATCGCCCCTGCCTCTGAGGCTCCCGGCAGGTCGAGCGAGGAAGGGAGAGGGATGTTTGGACAAGAGGAGCCTTTGAAGCTTTTCTCCTGTCCACCTCCCCTGCCCATAAAGCCATTAGGCTCCGGTGCCAGCCCTATCTGCGCCCGTCGCCCGCAGCCCAGCCCAGCCTCGCCGGCCCCCGCCCGGGGCGCGGGGCCCTTCTGGAGGCCGTTTTGGGGAGGGGGCAGCTCATTTCCGAGCCGGCCCTGCATTACAAAGGCAGCGGGGCCAGCGCGGCGCTTTGATGTGCCCCGCCGGCTCCCCG